ATTAGGTAGTAAAAGTTATTTTTTTAGATGAGTTTAAATAAGTGGTGTAGTTAGGAGCAGTTTGATAACACAATTTAAGGATTAAAATTGAATACTCTAAGCACTTAATAAATTAAACTCGTTTGATAATTTAAAACTCATATTACTTAATATTTTAAGCACTACTTAGAAATAAACTAAAATTTTATGTAGTAAATCACCTATTTATCACTTAATGCTGAAAATGTTAGTTAGCAAGGAGTTTATCAATTTCTCATAATAGACAAATATATCATCACCACTATTGTGTTATTACGACCACCACCACCACCACTGCCAACACTATCACCACCATTGTGCTATCGTCACCATGACCATTGTGTCTTCGCTACCACCACCACATCACTATCACCACTATTGTTGTTACCATCACTACCATTATGTCACTGCCACAACCACCATTGTGTCACCGCTATCACCGCCATCATTGTTGTCGCTGCAGCCACCACCACCTCCATTGTGTCGCTGCCACCATCACTACCACTGTCACTACCACTACCACCATTGTCACCATCATAATCGCTGCCGCCACTACTACAATTGTGTCACCACAACTGCCATTGTCGCCACCGCCACCACCACCACCACCACTATCATTACCACCTCCATCACCTCCACCACCTCCACCACCACCACCACTGTATCACCGTCACCACCACTACCAATATGTCATCGCCACCACTACCATTGTCGCTGCCGTCACCACTACCAATATCATTGTCACAACCATCATTGCCACAGCACCACTATTACCATCGCCACCACCGTCATTATCATTGTCGCTGTCACGACCACTATAGTGTACCGTTACCATCACAATCACTGCCGCCATCACTACCATTGTGCTACTGCCGCCACCACCACCATTGTTGTCACTATTACCATCACCACCACTGTTGTCGCCACCAGCACTACCACCATTGTGATGATGGTGTTAGGAATAAGACACTTGCAAAAATATGGTTAAAGTAAAGGGAAAAATTATAACAATAATAATTTTCAGACTTCGACTCTTTATATTTGTCATACAGTTTAATTAAATTTAATACTTAAATTTCAGTTAATACCAAATAGTCTGCGAATTAAAAATTTTTAATATTTAGTTTCAGTGTTCAACTTTTAATTTTATCAAACACCACCTTAGATAGACAAGAGATATATGGGTGGTTATAAAAGATACATCTATAATATAAAATAGGGTAGGATTCAATAAATCAATTTGATGGTCTCAAATAGATCTATACAATAGTCACCAACATTTCTCTCAAAATAATTCACATTGTATCGTACCTTCAGACACGTGTTACCTCTTATGTTAGAATATGAGTGGAGAACACTTTTGAAATTTAACTTAATAATTTAAAATTCTAAAACAATTAAAAAGTGAGAAGCTAGGGAAGTTTTTCAAAGCCGCTCTATAGAAAATTGTGCCATATATACCTAGATAGATAAATAAAATAGTTGTAATTGTTTCTCAAAAAATAAATTGATAATAATATATACAAAAGTTTATTTCAAATAACGTACTTGCTATATAGATAATATGAAAAATATATAATTGAAATTTTATCTTAAATCTAGAAAGTACGAATACAGATATAAGTGTTATATAACATAGATGAGATGATACTATAAACCTAAAAAACTAAGATATGTGTCGGATACACTAAAATAGATTTTATATTTTACATAGATTTAATTATTAGTTTTTAATTTTTAGTAAGTTCACTAACACATCTTCAAAAGTCATCTGAATTTTTGATTTGCACCATTGTATATGAATTTGAGAGAAAACAACAAAGATCAAAATTTGTAATTCACACATGCGTATCCACGTCTATGTCTCTATTCATCTTTGATACTCATATCCAAGTATCGTAAACGTGTAATAATTATCCAATATTTATTCAAAAATAAAAAATATTTTATTAATTTTGAATACGTTTAATGGGTATCCAATATGTATCATCAAGTATCCGACGAATATCATATCTAATATGATATTCAATACAGATACGTTAACTGAAACGAAATATCTGTGTTTTATAACTTCAAGCGTATAGTCATCTCTTAATATTTCGATGTTAATGCGTTAAATTTTAATATTTCAAAATTATAACAGTAAGACTGCTCTAGCATCAAAGAGAAAAATACATTGGCACAAAGTACAACATAAATAATGAATAGATAGATATTCGAAGAATTGATATTTCACGATTAGATTTTTTTCTTTTCCTTAGCTTAAATGAATATTTTCTCTAAAAATTTTGAAATAAATAAAAAATAAGTAAAACTACGATGACGATGGCGATACTCTTTGCTCCTTCCCTTTTCATTTGGTCCCGACTTGTGTTTTTGGGCACGTTGATTTTTCAAAAATCTACTTATCATCTTCCTCTCTAATTATTACACATGCAAGCCAGAAATAAAGATTCTGTATTGTGCAGTGTTTCCTTATTTTTCTTCTAACATAAGTATTCTTTCTAATTTATATTTTTAAATAGTTATAAGCCAGACATTAGGATTTGCATTTATGTTATTTCATTAAGAACCAACGATGCTTCTGTTTTAAAACTTCTTGCTTCTGTAGCTGAACTGGGTTTAGATTAGTTAAATCTGACAGACACAGAGTACCCTCATCTATGACCATTGTTTTCATTTAACCCCCCGAGTTTTATAGGGTATCAAAACTTTTTTTTTTCTATCTTACAGCTTTTTCCGCCAAAAACTATTCTCTGCCAAAAAAAAATAAATTTGCATGAAAAACATCATTTTATTTTGAGTAAATATTATAGTTGATCCTTAAATTTTATCATTGGTTTCAATTTGATTTCTAAACTTTTAATTATCTCAATTTAGTCCCTTAATTTTTAATTTTATCTAAATTAAATCATTCCGTTCATTTTTACCGTTATATCAAAAGGGGAACATATAATTTAACTTTTGAAATGAATTAGATTGAGCTAGTATTCGATTGATTTAATGGTAAAAATACATAAAATGACTTAATAATTGAGACAAAATTCGTATTAAAGAGGCTAAATTAGGTCAAATGAAAGTTAAAACTCGGGACAAGATTTAGAGGTCAATTAATATTTTACCCACTTCTTTTCCAGCGTTTTGTTTAAATGTGTAAAATGTTGCTTTTGATTAATAGAATGTCCAAAATATCCAAACAATTATATTCGTAAATGGTTGCACCTTTCATAGAACGACAAACACATGGATCAATATATANCAATATGTATCATCAAGTATCCGACGAATATCATATCTAATATGATATTCAATACAGATACGTTAACTGAAACGAAATATCTGTGTTTTATAACTTCAAGCGTATAGTCATCTCTTAATATTTCGATGTTAATGCGTTAAATTTTAATATTTCAAAATTATAACAGTAAGACTGCTCTAGCATCAAAGAGAAAAATACATTGGCACAAAGTACAACATAAATAATGAATAGATAGATATTCGAAGAATTGATATTTCACGATTAGATTTTTTTCTTTTCCTTAGCTTAAATGAATATTTTCTCTAAAAATTTTGAAATAAATAAAAAATAAGTAAAACTACGATGACGATGGCGATACTCTTTGCTCCTTCCCTTTTCATTTGGTCCCGACTTGTGTTTTTGGGCACGTTGATTTTTCAAAAATCTACTTATCATCTTCCTCTCTAATTATTACACATGCAAGCCAGAAATAAAGATTCTGTATTGTGCAGTGTTTCCTTATTTTTCTTCTAACATAAGTATTCTTTCTAATTTATATTTTTAAATAGTTATAAGCCAGACATTAGGATTTGCATTTATGTTATTTCATTAAGAACCAACGATGCTTCTGTTTTAAAACTTCTTGCTTCTGTAGCTGAACTGGGTTTAGATTAGTTAAATCTGACAGACACAGAGTACCCTCATCTATGACCATTGTTTTCATTTAACCCCCCGAGTTTTATAGGGTATCAAAACTTTTTTTTTTCTATCTTACAGCTTTTTCCGCCAAAAACTATTCTCTGCCAAAAAAAAATAAATTTGCATGAAAAACATCATTTTATTTTGAGTAAATATTATAGTTGATCCTTAAATTTTATCATTGGTTTCAATTTGATTTCTAAACTTTTAATTATCTCAATTTAGTCCCTTAATTTTTAATTTTATCTAAATTAAATCATTCCGTTCATTTTTACCGTTATATCAAAAGGGGAACATATAATTTAACTTTTGAAATGAATTAGATTGAGCTAGTATTCGATTGATTTAATGGTAAAAATACATAAAATGACTTAATAATTGAGACAAAATTCGTATTAAAGAGGCTAAATTAGGTCAAATGAAAGTTAAAACTCGGGACAAGATTTAGAGGTCAATTAATATTTTACCCACTTCTTTTCCAGCGTTTTGTTTAAATGTGTAAAATGTTGCTTTTGATTAATAGAATGTCCAAAATATCCAAACAATTATATTCGTAAATGGTTGCACCTTTCATAGAACGACAAACACATGGATCAATATATAAACAGTTACCCAAATTACTTGGACATGTACATAGGTTCATTTGATTTTTTTTTTTTGCTACAAACTACCCAAACATGCACCGACTATTCTCTCAAACTCTAAATTGACTACGATATCTCAAACTAATTTAAAAATATATCCCCTAAAAAATAAAGATAATTGATCCTAAAACATCTTGCTTACAACATGACAGACTTGGTGCTTGCATATCTATAGGTATAAAATCAGCTTTTCTAATGAATGACAGTCCCTCTTTGCCCACACCTAGGGCATACGAGGTAATTCTCCCGATTTCTTGAATTTCTATCTATCCATCCCTCGGTGCGTCGTAATAGCCATTTGATTGTAACATTGTTAAGTCCAAACATCCTACTTTAAATAAAGTGGAGGGTCGGGGTCCAAAACTAATTGCTAGCAATACAAATATAAATAAATAAGCTTCAAGAAACATCCTAATCAACAAGCTATAAGTAGGATCCAAATATTAGACTACTGACAACGAAGGTAGTATCAGAACTGCATTGCACTAGAACGTACCACAATTTCCAGATTCTACACCTTTGAAACAAATTTAAGTTGTTCTAATCCATCAGATCCATAGAGAGACATGATTCATTAGGATGCGAATCTCAGAAAACTCTAGTTTTAACAAACCTAAAATTCCGAGTTAGAAGAAAAACTGAAAGGAACCAAAGATGACTTGGTCCACTCAATGCAGGGGGTACAAAGAACAACTTCAATCCAGTCTCAACACAAAGCAGTCGTTGGAAAAACGAAAGTCCATCAACGAATCAGCTCCTCCGGCACCACCATGACCGAAACAGTTCCTTTATACAAGCAACACCTGCAGACCTGCAAATATGCAATTATATGATATTTTCTTACCACTATTACGTACTGATCAATCCATTAGAATATCCCCGCTGAGCAGCTTGGTTTAAAATTACAGCCTGATCCCTACTGACCGACTTTTTTCCCCTGTGCTCTCAGCTTTGCTGCAACTTGTTCGTCAGACAATGGTAAGTAATAGATGCGAGGGATTGCTCTGGTCTTGCGAAAGAGATCGTCCAGAGTGACAATTGGAGGGTCAACTTTCTCAGGAAGTGGAGGTGGGGGTGGCAGGGGAAGGTGTTCCCTTGCAGGAGGTGGGTTAGCCAATGGTGGTGGAGGTGGGAGAGGAGGTGGTGGTGGAAGCTGCGGCCTCTGAACCTGTAGCCGGGGAGATGGCTGGGGCTGAATAGTGGGAGAAGTCAAAGGGACGATAGCACCTGTGCTGACAGGAGTCACAGGTGACAGTGGAGGAGCCTCAACCCGCATTTTAACTTCCTGGGGGTCAACAAACTCAGCCACCAGTTGACGTCCTCCATTTGGTGGCCATTGTAAGTCGTACACTGCATTTCGAGTTTCTACAGCTTCTTCCACCAAAGAATACTGCAAAGCAAAAATTGCTGATCAGTTATCAAACCACATACAAATATGCGAGGAAAAAGAACTGCTCAATACAAGACATTAAGCTTTGTACCCAAGATGGCAACCCCCCGCATACATACGTCAGTCACAAGTTCATCCATCAGTGATGTCAAACTGCATAAAACTATAGAAGACAAGCATATACGCACAGAGAGAGAGAGAGAGAAAGACTTACTGTGACATAGCAGTGGGTTTTAATGTGGTCCATCCAGAAACTGGTAACAGCACCTGTTTTGCCAAGAAGGTCTTGCACAGCTTTCAAGGTGAAAGGGCGCAGAAAACGATCAATTCTAAGAGAATTTGTCGGAGCCTTGGGCGATGGGGGAACTGCCAAAGAACAAAAAAATTAATAATGCTTACACGGTGAAGTAACCTTCAATTGACATATATTGGATCACCACAAGCATTACAACTCACCAACACGTTCCTTAGGCTTTTCTTCACCAACAGTAGAGTTAGATCTAGAAAAGGTGTTTTTCATAGTAGGCTGAAATGCCTCCTTAGGAGTGGTAGATGCCACAACATTACTGCTCTGTGGTTCAGGAACTCTAAGGCCTTCGGAGTTCCACCTGCGCTGCCTCTTTGTAGTCTCATTATTCACAAGTGTTTCTTTGTCTGTCATAATGGAACATTATTTTGAGATGACCACAAAAAAGTGATCTTAATGGACAACTTCAGAATAAGCATTCAAATCCTAATTCGTCAAATGGGCCATGTTTGGGGCCATGTCTACAATAGTTCACAAAAGGGTAAAAATGTAACCATTCCATTTAGCAGAATAACCATGTTAAAATAAAATGTTAACCTAAATTTCAACTTAAGGAAAAAGTCGATATTGCTTCATTTCTGCTCCAAAGGGTTGAGCAAACATATACACTAACACCACATACTTGGGACAATTTAAGGGTCTACAACAATTTACATGGACTTGTACATGACAGCTATGCTTAAATTTTTTCTAAGAACATGCTTTCCCAAGTTAGAGGAACCAACAGTTTAGGNAGAAGTCAAAGGGACGATAGCACCTGTGCTGACAGGAGTCACAGGTGACAGTGGAGGAGCCTCAACCCGCATTTTAACTTCCTGGGGGTCAACAAACTCAGCCACCAGTTGACGTCCTCCATTTGGTGGCCATTGTAAGTCGTACACTGCATTTCGAGTTTCTACAGCTTCTTCCACCAAAGAATACTGCAAAGCAAAAATTGCTGATCAGTTATCAAACCACATACAAATATGCGAGGAAAAAGAACTGCTCAATACAAGACATTAAGCTTTGTACCCAAGATGGCAACCCCCCGCATACATACGTCAGTCACAAGTTCATCCATCAGTGATGTCAAACTGCATAAAACTATAGAAGACAAGCATATACGCACAGAGAGAGAGAGAGAGAAAGACTTACTGTGACATAGCAGTGGGTTTTAATGTGGTCCATCCAGAAACTGGTAACAGCACCTGTTTTGCCAAGAAGGTCTTGCACAGCTTTCAAGGTGAAAGGGCGCAGAAAACGATCAATTCTAAGAGAATTTGTCGGAGCCTTGGGCGATGGGGGAACTGCCAAAGAACAAAAAAATTAATAATGCTTACACGGTGAAGTAACCTTCAATTGACATATATTGGATCACCACAAGCATTACAACTCACCAACACGTTCCTTAGGCTTTTCTTCACCAACAGTAGAGTTAGATCTAGAAAAGGTGTTTTTCATAGTAGGCTGAAATGCCTCCTTAGGAGTGGTAGATGCCACAACATTACTGCTCTGTGGTTCAGGAACTCTAAGGCCTTCGGAGTTCCACCTGCGCTGCCTCTTTGTAGTCTCATTATTCACAAGTGTTTCTTTGTCTGTCATAATGGAACATTATTTTGAGATGACCACAAAAAAGTGATCTTAATGGACAACTTCAGAATAAGCATTCAAATCCTAATTCGTCAAATGGGCCATGTTTGGGGCCATGTCTACAATAGTTCACAAAAGGGTAAAAATGTAACCATTCCATTTAGCAGAATAACCATGTTAAAATAAAATGTTAACCTAAATTTCAACTTAAGGAAAAAGTCGATATTGCTTCATTTCTGCTCCAAAGGGTTGAGCAAACATATACACTAACACCACATACTTGGGACAATTTAAGGGTCTACAACAATTTACATGGACTTGTACATGACAGCTATGCTTAAATTTTTTCTAAGAACATGCTTTCCCAAGTTAGAGGAACCAACAGTTTAGGGTTTTGGTAAGGCACAAACTCCATCACCCCAGACACACACACACACACACACACACAAATGAACACAATTTATTCCAGGAAAGTCTCCCCTCTTTCCCCTAGTCATGGCCACATTGCCAATCACTGGCCCTCTGTGTTTTCCTCTAAGCTTATTACTACTCTCATCCTAGCACCAAAGTGTTGAGTTTCAAAGTGTCTTGACATTCACATCACGCAATGTAATGCCACATACCACAAGAAACAAACTTCTGTTAGCAAAGAAATATACATATGGTATCAGTGAAGGTGACAAAAAAAACCCATGCACAGGACCTTAAGGATGACAAATGAAGAAATGGAAAACAAACTGGGGTGTAAAACTTACCATGCAGCTTTCTTTTCACAGATCCCACAGCAGTACCCTTCTTACTTTCAACACTAGTATTTTTCTCTTCGGCGGGTAAGTCATCTCCCATAACATCAATGAGACCTTCATCAACCACAGGCACATCAATTTTGTCAACCCTATCTCCCAATATGTCAATATTAAGCGTTGAATCAATCTGTTTACTCTCCAACACATCCTCCTCCATTGAATCCTCTCCAGAACTTCGATCTAAATTTAATTTTTCTGATGAACACATATTTCCACTATCAATTTTCTTGCCTATATCTGCCTTTTCAACATTATCGTCAATTGTCTCTTCGGTAGATACCTTGTTCTCATGTGGCTCTTCAACATCCATGGGATGTGATTTGCCACCATCGGAGGCATAATTGCTGGATGATGGCACCATCTCATGCTTAATATCCAGTTCTAATTTTACATCATCAGCAATTATATTATCCTTCAGTTCATTCTTTTCATTAATTGAGACAGAATCAATACAAAAAGAATCAGATTTTACATGGAACCCTAAATCAGGGTTGACCTCAGATACCTGGTTGTTTAGATCAGATGAGCAGAGCTTTGTATCGACCTGTAGATCCTTTGAATCCTCATTCACCAGCAGATCCTTTGAATCCTCATTCGCCATCAGATCTTTTGATTCCCCACTCTCATACTGAATATCATTGTTCTGCAACTCTTGCCCACCTGAAGCAATTTCAGACACCACGGTCTCACTGACGATGACACTGGTTTCCACAGAAGTAACTTGAACTACCTGCTTCCCATCCATGGCAGCCAAATTAGAACCACCTATTAATTCCCCCCCTGAAACTATTTCCTTATCCAAAGACCCCCGGCTGACATCAATGTCAACCTGAAGCATATCCCCATCGACATCCACATCCTCATTTGTGTTGTCACCATGATCCATAATGTCCTTAGTTGTCTCGGCAACAGCTGGAACTGTCCTTGAATCTTCAGACTGAACCTCATCTTGTGGAGCACTTTCAATACCATTGTCAGAATTTCCCTTAGCACTTTCAATTTCATTGTGAATGTCTTCACCCAACCGCCTTACCAGATCTTCTTTTAACCCCTTTGTGGCCAATTTACGTCTCTTAAGTTCTTCTTTTAGCTCTGTTACCTTCCACTGATCAATTGGACGATTGTCAAGAACAGGATATGGTGACGACATTTTTGGTTCTAAATTTCCTCCTTTTTTATGATACTCACCCTGATAAAAACAAAAATTCATTAGACAATTGGGCACTCAAAACATCTCCCCATAACAAAAAGAACTAACAAAATTTAGAATGCCAAAAAAGAAATTCTAGAGCTCAATAACTAATCAACCTCATTTAAATCCAAGAAAAACAATGCATGATAATGCCTAAGAAGCTATAACCCAACGATCCTTACCTACAAAAGCAATTGTCTTCACAGGGTGAAACCAAGGAGATTCTTTTTTTAAATTGAATACCACAAGAAAAACAAAAAGGGAGGAAAAACTAACACCTGGTTATTATGAGATAAACCGAAAGACCTCATCCAATATGCACAAGCACTTGCATTTACAAATTACCTCATATAAAGTGGGGAAAAATAGAACCAACTCGAAGTTAACCCCCAGCAAATCATAACTACTAAAACCTATGGGTACATCTATTGCTGAAATAGGAAATATTTACAGTGCATAAAATTTCAGAAACATTTGAGTTATGTCTATTAATTTCAAACTATCAATCAATATCAGCCACCACATCCATTACAAGCACCCAAACATCATAACCTGCCCATTAGCAAGACCTCCATCACTGCTGAGCGAACTTCTTTCCTTGAATTTATATTTTTGCACCAATATTCATATTCCGCATCAAGATGTTTTTAACAAATCACAGGCAATAGAACAATAGGAAACTGTTCCAATGACATTTCTATCTCAACTGTCAAAAAGGAACTGTTCTGCCATTTACTGCCATCACCACCATTGCAACATGGAAAAAACCACTCATGGAAATCCAACATTCCAACTATATAGTATCATTATTATTTATCACCACAAACTATCAACACACACCCACAATTACGTCTTATAGCAATGGCAATGCCAGCATAATTTTCCGGTGGGATCAATTAATACCTAGTAATTACTATTATTATTATTCTATTACATAAAACTGTGAAAACTATTTACATTACAATTCATCACATCTATAAAATTTATAAAAATAACAAGAAAAAATTTTCTAAAGTAGAATCTAAAAGAAAATAATTATTCAACTAAACAAAAGAATCCAAACAAGTTTTAAATAGAAAGTTAGAAACATAACTTTATTTTGCTGAAATGATCCAAAGATTTGTGAATAAAATAGAGCTTACAAGAAAAATCCATTTTTTGGGCCATTCTCATTTTCCTCATTCCTCTCTAGCATCTATCACACTCATGGATACAAGCACACAATCCATAAGGTTCACCAACCATGTAGAGAAAAATTACATACTTTGTGTTGCTATCATAAATTATCTTATTTGATAAAAAATTTCAATTCTCATAAAATGCTCAAACAACAGTCCCAAAGTCGTCATTCATAAATAGAGCCCATAATTTCCTAAATTTTTGTGGGGACATATCACCCAACTCAATACCATGTAGCTCCGCCTAGGGGCTTTTTTAGGGAAGTTGTAGCTCCACCTAAGTTGTCTAGCGCATAGATAATAAATATAGCAAATCCAACAGCAACAAAGGAGCATATATTTTGAAACCCATGATGAAACTGCAATTTCAAGTTGCAATATAAGCATTCTGACGTGAAATAAAATAATAATTCAGGTGTAAGGACACTTTCCCCATGAATTGATCAAAAATGAATATAAATATGATATATTTGGTTAGAGGTGTTTACTGGAAGAAATGATATGGAAAATAGAACAGGCAAATAAACCGCCTTGTGTTGTCTCCCTGTTAAATAAATAAACAATGCTAAACATCCCAAATTTGTATCGCAAATGTGCATCCCAAATCAATAAGGATGGTTGGATTAGTGGGTCCCAATGATTTTGCTGACGGGACCCACACACCCAACCATCCTTGTTGATTTGAGATGCAAATTTGAGAAGCAAAGCATTTCTCTTAATCAAATTAGGAATCAAAAAATGCTCAAAATTTTGGAAATCGTGAAAAAAATAATCTTACTTTCCCTCATTATCTATCGACTCCCAATATTTTCCAAGGAGCCGAAACATGAGCAACCTTAAGTTTTCACTTCCTCTCCCAACTACATCCATGAACCAAACGGAGCCGGTCTTTCTTCCTCTTTTTATGGGAACATATATCATATCGATAAAACCCTAATGTACTCGATTCTATCTCAGAGCCACAATGACTAGAGGATGAAATCAGGAAACGTTAAGCAAAAAGTTAAGAGTCAGTACTCACAGTGATGTTCGATTCACAGGCTCGAAACGCTGAGTAGGCAGAGAAACCCTAGTTTCATCAGAACACAAAAACACCCATCAGAACAAAAAAACAAAACAAAAACAATCACGAAAACCAACGAAACAGTGGTTATCGAAATACGAAGGCACAAATCTGCTTCTGTTCCTTTTCCGTATCCTGAAAAACAGAAAAACAAAAAATCTGAAACAGGTGTAACAAAAATAATGAAAGATTTTAAGCGGAAATGCTTGGAGTGAAGAAGAAAATCAGGAGGTTTCTGCTTTCTAGGGTTTTGGCAACCCTACTCGTTGGGTGGGCGTTAATAATAAATTGGGATTGGGAGGAGAGGTTACGCACGAGATACTGAGGGGTTGGCATAACACCAATAATACCCCTGTACGACTGAGGAAGCCGCTCAGAGAAAATATTGGGTGTAACGGTGTCGAATAAGAGCATAACGTTGTATGGTACCGTCATCTAATAAAGGCATAATAAATATATTATAGTAATTACCTTTCATATAATTTAGTAATCGCTCAATATCTAAAAATAATTATAAAGTAAAATTCATACGCCCACTTATAAGTTTATTATTAAATGGTAAAATCACGTAATAGTGATGACATTGTATTACAGTTACACTTAATACCAAAATTAGAATTTATATTATTTATTTATAAATTTATTATTAAATAATAACACTATGTGATAATAATAACATGGTACGATATGACTGATACACCCAATATTTAATCCACCGTTACATCTGTTTCATTGGCTCATATGGGTTGGAGATTGACGGTGCTCAAAAATGCTAGCCCTAGTTCAAAACCTCAGCCTAGAGAGGGGATAGAACAAATGTATGGGTTGGAAATGGATAAAGTTGTGAGAGAAAAGCCAAGATACTATATAAGAGCTTGTTTGGTAACGTTTACGATTTTTGATTTTCTAAAAAATTAAAAACAAAATTAAAAAAATAAAAAACGTCTTTTTCTCATTTTTGAAAATCGCCCATCGTTTACAAAATGATGACAGAAAAAAAAATAAAAATGGTTATCAAACGAGTTTTTTTTTCTTGTTTTCTCTAAATATTAAAATAAAAACGAAAAACATAAATGTTACCAAACGGAACCTAAGTGGTTCACTTTAGTTAAAAGACCAAGACTACGTCCACTGTAATATAATCTTTTACTCTTTGGGGGTGTGTATATTGCTTAAAGAAGACGATTACAGAAATTTGTTGGGTTTAGAACCTTTTGCAAGAAAATGCTTAGAGAGTACAAACTTATCTATGAAGTTAACTGAGTTGACAGTGAGGAAGATGTTGATTGTGTCTGTTCCATAGGATAATAGTGTCCTATTTATACAGATAATCTTTTCTAGGGTATTTTTGTGGCTCCTTCCTCATTCTTACTGATTCTGTGGGCTTTTCTACTACTTTGTTCAGTAGTGACCTTTGTCATATGACGTTACTGTATCTACGACCCTTAAGCGGTTACGCGCACCAATATTCCCTTTGGTAGAGAGTGTGTGTTCATTATGGATGTCAAAAGTAATCTCTCTGCCCTCTGGACACGTGGCATGACGGGAGTGGTTCAGGATCGACCAAGGGGCCCGAGCTCCTTGATCCCGAGCTGACCTCTTGCTGGGCTAGATTGGGATTGGATTGGACTTCAAGCCTTCAGGTACTGTCGAGCTTCATCATTTGGGCGCGGTTCATTTGAATCTTGGAGTGGACAGACTGCAGATGAGCGATTTGAGCCACTCTGCAAGTAAAGGCATTCTAAACTTATTGGGCTCTTGATTAGGATGGTCTATACCTAAAATGTCATCATTATCCGACATGATGAGAGAGATTAAACACTATGTTATGGTTTTTTATTATTTCAGTATCATATTAAAAAGAGATAAAAATCTAGAAAATAGTAAGTTTTACAAGTGTACCTAAAAACTGATGAGTAAATTTAAAAAATAAGTGCAATCCAAAATTTGATAAATTTCATTAAAAATGAGAAAAAACTAGTAAGTGATACTATACAAAATATTTTTTTTATTCCACAGTCAAACCTCATAGTCTGAGGCAAGGAGCCCAACTAAGCCACCCATTTAACGAGGCCGTCCAAAATCAAAGCCAATTTACTCTCAAATAAAGAAATCAAACACGAGTAAGCATATATTTCGAATTACTATAAAATAAAGATATGATAATATAAAAATCTAAAAACTTGATATGGACACATGAAAGGTATCTCAACAAATTATGTGTTTTTTTTTATTTGTGAATTATATTACACGATTCAATTTAATCATGATATTTATAAGTACATATTTAAAATAACAAATGATGCAAACAAACCTATTTTGCATTAGAAAAACAAGTAAAACACATATTTAGCAAATCTATAAATCCCAATTGACCAAAAATAATGTAAAATACCAAAAAATATATATGGTCAATTCAGTCCCTTGATTTCACTTCCTAAATCTAACAAATCTTAAATTTAGGAATCTATAATATAAAGAGTCATTTGAAGGCCAGTCCATTCTAAAAAAAAAATCACTCGTCAATTTTCTTTTGAATTAGATCTCTATTGAAAAGTCAAAGTAAAAGGCATAACTAATGCCCTTTAAAATTTGTAAAAATAACGATAATGTCATCACTTAATTAAAACACATTCTAAATAGTTATATCATTATAATATACCATTTTCTCCATAAATGCAAATCGTTAGACAGATATATTAAAAAAATATACAAATCGTCAGACAGGTACACTAAAAAAAAATATAATGTACATTTTTCTTCATAAACAAAGAACTTCAAATAGGTATACTAAAACAAAGATCATTAGATAGGTACACTAAAACACAGATCGTTACATAGGTACGCTAAAACACGGATCATCAGATAGGTACGTTAAAACACAGATCATCAGACAGATATGTTAAAACACAAATCTTCAGAAAGGTACATTAAAACACAGATCTTCAGATAGGTACACTAAAACATAAATCGTCAGATAGGTACACTAAAATAAGATCGTCAAATCCACCTTACCATGACCCTTCAAATTCAAGGGCTCAAAAAACCATAACAATCAGTCAAAAACCCCTAAAAATTACTCCCATGTATTCAAACCCTAAACCGAGCTCAATATAAGCAAAATTAGTCTTCTTTTACTCCTTCAAACGCTCATTCATACTCCTTTTGTAATTTTGCCTCTTCTTCGACAGTGAATTCATTCATAATATTAAATATCCGACAAACATGGTTGAAGATGATTGTACTTCGAACGTGATTTCCAGTACCCAATGTGGACAGCAAAACTCTGATTCAAATCATAGAGTATCTCAAGAAACACGCAAATTTAATGATTTCAAAGGAAAACATAAAAAAGTTTGATTCTATTTTTTTCGAGAAGGAACACAGATTGTTAGGTTGAAAATTATGTGATGATGGTATAATGGGTAATGAAAACATAGTAACTGCCCCACCCCTTACTATCTGCGCCAACACAATGGCATGCAAGTTTTTTCAAAACATGGAGGATTTTTTTTTAATACTAAAAATTCGGTAGGACTAAAGTTAGTTTATATACCAAATGAAGGACCCTAAACTAGTGTGTGTATGTTATATGGGTACATATTTTTTGAGTTAAAGCCTTATTTGGCTTATTGCGTGTGGTGGTACAGTATAGGGCGAGAGTTGAATTCTCAATCCCCATTGAGAGTTTCCTAGATCCTCTGACCGTGTGTTTTAGGTTAGACCAGAAAGACCAATCCTCAAAGTTTTATAAATATGGTTTGATGTTCCGGTGCTATGACCTCATTCGCCAAAAAATCTCTCCGATTCCTTTTGGAGAGAAAAAGGTCAGGTTGACACAGTTAATAGTGGTTTTCCCTTTCATCTAAAGAATGTATATGTATGTTAAATGGATGTTTAGCATGTAGTTAGTATAGTTAATTATGCTCATGTTTACTAAAGTAATGAACATGTTGCTATGTTGATATTGTTCATTGCATTTGGGCACACACGACATGTGCACGAATTTTACATCACATCCACAATGCATTGTCATGGTAGTATTGAGTGTACATGTGTTGGTCACTTACGATATAGGTGAGTGAATAGGGGCTTGAAAAATGGGATAAGATCTGATTGAGTCTCACGGAAACAATGATAATAAAATTATAGGGTATTAGTAAGAAGGGATAAATTCACCCTCGGATGCAAGGCCCAGTTATATCATTCACACATTTAGTCGGTGGTGTAACGAGCCCATAAATGTGTGTCTGTGTACGCAAAATTGGGGGTGGGAGTCCTCCAAATCTGTGTCAATTGGGTAGAACATTGATAGAAGTTCATAAATACCTTACCCCAAAAAGAAAAAAAAATGAAAATAAATGACAAGTCATTGAGTTAACTCAATGGGGTGGGCATGGAGTGTCTGGTTCATTAGTATGACATTACATGTGTCGTGGGAGTCCGAGTTGGGTTCAGAGTGGGTTATGCATGCATGAAACATCATTTCATGTCATAGCATCGTTGGTAGCATTATTTTATGTTACATGTCACTTATATGAGTACTTAATATATATGAATGTGTATTACCATCATATGCACCGTTGAGTTGGGAGTCTTACTTTATAGAAGGTACCCTACTGGGATTTAGCTTACTCTGTTGTGGGAAAAACATTTCAGGTACAGTTAATACTTCTGCGAATGGTGTAACACCCTGTATTTTCTTTTATATATGTATATAGATATATAGTAAATAACTGTGGTAAAAAAAATGTGGATATATGTAGTGATGCGTGTTTGAATTTGGTAGATTGAAAAAGTAGAGATTTAAAATATTAGTGAAAATAATAGTTGAAATTTGGTTTTAATAAGTGAAAATATGAAATTTTAGGTCCTAGAACTTGTATTAAATAGGTTTGGTGTAGAAATATGTGTTGGAGAGGTTTGAGATAGATTTTGGTTGGCTTAGGAATGGATTGGAAATGGAAAAGAGACGAAGACAGGCCGTGAACAGTGCACTGCTGCAACTTCAAGCTCGATTTAGACCTTGATGTAGTCAATATCTCTCAAAATTCAAAACATGAAAGTTTTA